CAGGAGGCTGGGCTGGTGGTGGGAGGAGACAGACAGTTAGGCGAGGCTTTGGACTTGATTTTACTGGTTGAAAGGCAGCCCTGCCACAGGCGTGACTGTGGCGAGTGTCCTGGGGCTGAGAGCTCATCACTGTCTCGCTGGCCCCTTTCCAAAAGCTGCTTCCTTAAGAAGATCAGCACATTGGCTTCCCTTCCTTCTAGTGACCTGTCCACTCATTTGGGGGGATTGTAGCTTAGGGGTTAAAGCCTTGTGGCTGATGGGTACGAAGGAAATAGATTTCCGGTTAAATTGCTTATTTCATTTCCTGTGGGCGGGAGAGGGACTGGCTGTGTGATGAGACCTTTCTCCGTGTAAAGTCCTTTTGTAGGATCTCATGGGCCTCTGCCCCAGGTACTGTCTCTGCTTTGATTTAATAGGTGGGGGGTTGGCAGGGGGAGGGGAGGGAGCTGGTTCCAGGACAAGAAAAAAAGGGAAGGAGGGGCAGGAGTTGAGTGTTCCTGGTCACAAAGGTCTCGGTTCTTGGCCTATTCCCTGCCCGGGGATCAAGGGTTAGGGGAGAAGCTCACCCAGTTTCTAAAGGAAGCTCTGGGCTTGTTATCTACTAGTAGAAGTGGGGTTTAACTTTGATGAATCTTTCTGTGAAACGTGGAGCCAGAGCCACGTCTTGGGTGGTAGGCACAGGGATGATGCCCAGTTTGTGCCACATGCTGGTGGCTCCTGCTTGTGGGCATTTATAAGTGACTCCTAGTGGTGGGAGGAAGGTTAGTTTCATTAAATTTGCTGAAAAGATTGAAATGCTCATACTACCCACGGGATAACAGCTGTTCCCCTGCCTCCTGCATGTCTGGGTTGTGCTGAAGTACATGTCCTCTTTAGCTCATTTCACCCTGATACAGATTCTGGGGGAGGTGATGACCATATGTGGAGACTTCAGCTTTACTTGATGCTGCAGGGCCCTGAGAGGAGCGGACAGGGTACATCCCCAGGTGCCGGGTGCTGATCACTCTCTCTTCTACAGGACTCCTGCGCTGACTCCTGAGGGTGCTTTGACTGGGATCGGCTGTGTTTCTTCTGAAATGCCTGCTTGTTGTCCTCGCCAAGAATTCTCAGCTGCCTGTGAGCCTGTTCCCTCTGAGATCAGAGTCCTAGTTGCTCTGAGGCAGTCGGCCAGGCATCTGCTGTGACCCCCTTCGAGGCAGCTGTGAGCTTGGAGTCTGTCCTGTGGGCTGCCATCTGAGTCTACTCAAGGCCCCCAAGGCATTTTTCTTTTGTCCCCCTCATCCCCTCTGTCCAAGAGAAGCACATTAAAGCCTTTACCTGACTCCAGAGCTTTTATCATAATTAAAAACATTATCTGTATCTGAGCCTTTTTAACTGTGTGGAGGCAGGAAGCCACTGAAGAATGAAAGGAACATATTTTGCTCCTTGAGGGAGACTAGAGCATCTTGGGGTGCTGTGATATGTGGGCAGAGGGAACAATTCAATCATCCTCCTTCCTGGCTCTTTGGTATTGATGTTCAGTGCAGTGTTCTTAGGATGTGCCGGCCTCTCTTCCAGCCTGGTGGGTAGAGTGTATGTCAGCATGGAGGAATTACCTGGGTCCAGGTATAGTGGCCCCTGGGGTCTCAGAGAACCAAACTGATGTCTCAGATGTCTTGGCAAGTCACATTGATCAAGGTCAATTTTTGTTTTGAGAAAAGTAAAACCAGTAAAATTCTTGGTTCCAAATGATTGAAACCCAACTGAAGTTTAGTTTGTTCATGTTACAATGAAGCCTGGGGTCAAGTTGATTTCAGAAGAGACTGGATCCAGGTAGTCAATGAGGTCTTTGTCTCTCCTCTTTCTGTTATAACTATTCATGCACCTTTCTCTTTTCCTGAATCTCTCTTTGTTCCTGTATAATTTTTTAGTGTGTCTCTCTGCATCTTTTTCTG